GGTGGGGGGTTGGATAAGGGGCAGGAGGTCCTGGGGGTAGTCAGGGGACAGGGGGCTGTTGGATGGGGCGGACATTCAGGGGGGGCGGTCAGAAGACAGGGGGGGTTGGATAGGGGATGGGGCCTGGGGGGGCAGTTAGGGGTGGGGGTCCTGGGAGGGGGTGGTCAGGAGACAAGGAGCAGGGGGGTTGGATGGGTCGGGGGTTCTGAGGGGTTCAGTCAGGGGGCGGGAAGTGGGAGGGGGCGGATAGGGGGCAGGGGCCAGGCTGTTTGCGGAGGCACAGCCTTCCCTGCCCAGCCCTCCATACCGTTTCGCAACCCTGATGTGGCCCTCGGGCCAAAAAGTTTGCCCACCCCTGCCCTAGGGGCTTCAGGTGCCAATAGGTAAGTTAGAACATCTTAGAGGAATAGGGAAGAGTACAGGGATGCGTGGACCCTCCATCTTTCCCATCAGCCTCCAGCTACATGTTGGACAAAATTGGAAGCCCCTCTACCCAGCCCAGGGCCTCCTGGCAACTATGAACTGGGGAGCAGCCTGCATTCTCAGCATTCTGCCCGCTTCAAGGGGGCAGTTTCCACTATCCCAGCCTTTCCGGAGCCTCCATTTTGAATCCGCCTCCCCAGTTTCTCTCTCTGCTGTTGCTCAGAACTTTCACAAGCAGCAGCTAAACTGTCCTGATACTTAGAGAGGCAAGGTGAAGTGAGCAGTTAACACCTCTCCAGCCAAACAGCCCCCCAACCTCATCATCAGCAGACAGCTCCCCACAGACCAGGACACACCAATCCAAAGTGGCACTAGACCCTGCCAGAACAACAGATGTGAAACCTGCAGACTATCTCCACTGCTACAAAGATCAACATCACACACAACACACCTTTCAAGTTCCATGGGTCCTACACATGTGGAGTACCTCATCCAGGGCACTTAATGACCCAATAATAACTGAGTGTGTGTCAAGGTTCCTTCCCCACTCTGAACTCTAGGGTACAGATGTGTGGACCTGCATGAAAAACCCCCTAAGCTTATTTTTACCAGCTTAGGTTAAAACTTCCCCAAGGTACAAACTATTTTTCCTTTTGCCCCTGGACTTTATTGCTGCCGCCACCAAACGTCTAACAAATATATAACAGGGAAAAAGCCCGCTTGGAAACGTCTTTCCCCCCAAAATCCTCCCAAACCCTACACCCCCTTTCCTGGGGAAGGCTTGATAAAAATCCTCACCAATTTGCATAGGTGAACACAGACCCAAACCCTTGGATCTTAAGAACAATGAAAAAGCAATCAGGTTCTTAAAAGAAGAATTTTAATTGAAGAAAAAGTAAAAGAATCACCTCTGTAAAGTCAGGATGGTAAATACCTTACAGGGTAATTGGATTCAAAACATAGAGAATCCCTCTAGGCAAAATCTTAAGTTACAAAAAGACACAAAAACAGGAATATACAGTCCATTCAGCACAACTTATTTTATCAGCCATTTAAACAAAACAGAATCTAACGCATATCTAACTAGATTGCTTATTAGCCCTTTACAGGAGTTCTGACCTGCATTCCTGCTCTGGTCCCATCAAAAGCAACACACAGGCCGAGAGAGCCTTTGTTTCTCCCCCCTCCAGCTTTGAAAGTATCTTGTCTCCTCATTGGTCATTTTGGTCAGGTGCCAGTGAGGTTATCCTAGCTTCTTAACCCTTTACAGGTGAAAGGGTTTTTCCTCTGGCCAGGAGGGATTTAAAGGTGTTTACTCTTCCGTTTATATTTATGACAGTGTGTGAAACCATGCTACCAATGAACTATCACAGAAAAATGATATGACAAAAACACTATATCACCTGTGGGTGAACACTTCACAAAGCAAACACTCTATATATGACCTGTCAGTCCTCACCCTCAAAGGAAACCTGCACACTTTCAAACAACAAACCTGGGAGCTGAAATTCATAACTTTGCTTGACACTAAACATCATGGACTGAAGAGAGGCACTGGATTTATGGCTTACTACAACAATCTATAACCCATTAAGTCCCCTCCCCAGATTTCTCTCTCTCTCTCTCTCTCCAATGACTGGAGTGGTGTTTACTGGCCACTTCACCTTGAATGGTGTCTTGAAATGTGTTAACTACTGATGCTAAACAATCTGTCCCACCTCATATTTAGCTGTGACACCCTGAGTATGTTTCCCAGACCCAGAAAGCTCTGTGTAAGCAGGAAAGCTTGTCTCTCTCACCAACAAAAATTGGTCCAATAAAAGATATTACCTCACCTACCTTGTCTCTAATATCCTGAGCCCAACAGGGCTAAAACAACACCGTTCGTCAGCGACATTGCTGCCAGAGGAAACTGGCTGTGGATGGATATGGGGAAGAAACCAGCCCTGAAGACGGTCAAGACTCTGGTCAGTTTTCATTTTGCTGCATCTTAGGGTAGCTTTGAGCAGCAGCAGCACTGCAGCATTCTGACTGCCAATTTAGGAAGGCAGCACTAATTGGATTGTACTCAGTTTGCATTTGGAAGTTACCTTCACAGCCACAAGGGCTAGCTTTCATTTAAACAAAACAAACCCCAACACTCCTAGTCACCCTTCTGAATGGATTTTTTCAAGCCCATGTTAAAGGTTGGCTGCAGTCAGTTGCCCTCGCTCTGTAACCTTTTAGATCTAAAACTGAGCAGGGTTCAGGCCAAGCCAGTGCTCAGGTGTTCTTTCATTCTAAGTAATGCAGGAAATGATGTTGTTGATACCCCAGGAGGTGCTCTTCCCTCTAAGTCAGGATTAGTACCATGCTGTGCATTGGCTAAGGATCACTGCTGGTGGTGCCAGCTTTCAGCAGAGTTCTATAGAGTTCTTGAGCACCTGTACTCCTTAAGTCCCAGGGCACCTTTCACTTGGATAGTGGCAAGGCCAACCCTAGCTGGACCAAAAAAAAAGAGTCATGAATCAGAATGACAATCAGGGTCCAGCTACCCCAAGAGGAAAACAGACAATGAGCAGTTAACCCAGCTGATTGCATACTGGATTATAGACTCAGACTTTGTCAGAATGGACCATCATGATCATCTAGTCTGACCTCCTGCACGCTGCAAGCCACATAACCCCCCCCCCCCCCGCACTCCTGTAATAGACCCCTAACCTGTCTGAGTTACTGAAGTCCTCAAATCATGGTTTAAAGACTTAAAGTCACAGAGAGTCCACCATTTACAGACAAATTCCTACTGTACTATAAACCTATATCAAGTTATTTTATGAAAGCTTGTAATCTTCTCAACTTAAGTCATTATGAGGTATGTATATGGACTGTGGTTATGAATTTATGTCTAGTCTAGATAATACTTAGTCCTGCCATGAGTGCAGGGGACTGGACTGGATGACCTCTTGAGGTCCCTTCCAGTCCTATGAGTCTATGTATACAGAAAACTGTGCTCAATCTGTACAATTTTCACTACACATCCCAGGAGAGAGGAACACCTCCCAACACAGTTCACACAAAATGAACAAGTACCTATTCATTGTGCAGCCCAGGAAAAGACTATGATGGACCGTTAATTGGAAGAAAAGGGATTTTTATCTAATATGGAAGTGTAAGGCCTGAGATTGCACTTTTGTTTGTTTGCTGTGTAACTTGTATATGTATGCGCTCTCCCTTACTATTTCGTCTGTGATTTTTGTATTACCTGCTTGGGATGAAAATAAATGTATCTTTTGTACAAACTGTGTTGAGTGTGTGTGCCAAAGTGAACTGCTAAGTGGGGGTTGGGGGCAGGTTTCACACCTCTGGGGCTGACGAACAAGAGGGAGACAGTCTGAGCATCTGGTACGTCAGAACTCAAGGAGCATGGATTTGGCGAGGCTAGGTGTGAAAGGGTGGTTGTGTTACTGTGGAGTAACCAGGCTGGTGGAAGCCAGAGTGAGACATTGTGCTTGTGGGCAGGCTACTGGTGTCAGGGAACAGAACCAAAGCAGCACAGCATAAAGACCCTCAAGGTTACAGGGTAGGCAGTTTCAGACGCCTTCCTGTTTTGAGGATCACCCAGACCACCACAGTCAGGCCCCCAAAAATTATGGAATTGGTTTAAAAATCATGAGGGTTTTTGTGGTTTTGTTTAAAGATCACATTGAGGCTTTTCTTTGCCTTCTGGGTTTTCTACCTTAGAGTTTTATGCTGCCACCCTTCACCATGGTATATCTGAGTATCATCTACGTAAAAACAATAGCAACAGCCATGTGTCTAGCAGACCCCATGGAGTTGGACGCTTCTTCAATTTCTGTGTGTGTGTGTGGGGGGGGGGGTCACTCTACTTGGGGTAAAGGATATTTGGGGGCAGGTTGTCTCCAGCAGCCAAGGCTTTAAGTAAAACATCAAGTATTGAGAGACTAGAAATTACAGAAGATGGCAACACTGGGCACAAATTCTAGTTATCTGAATTCCCCTAGAGTTTGAAATGGATACACAATCCTCCCCCATCCCAACTTCCTTTCATTTAAGAAGAGAAGTTGGACAGTATGCATGCACTGTTTACATGCTAGCCATGTTTTACCCTAGAAGTGGCTCATCACACATCACTGAAATGTAGTAAGAGTTTGATAAGCGCTTTGGCATCCTTAAATTGAAAGTGCTAGGCCACAGCGATGATGAAGGCCAGGTCTATGCTAGAGACCTTACAGTGGCACAGCTGTACCGATGCACCGCCATAAGATTTCCCATGTAGCCACTCTATGCTGACAGGAGAACTCTCCCATCAACAAAATTAAACCACCCCCAACGAGCAGCGGTAGCTATGTCAGGGGGAGAACACCTCCCACCAGCATAGCACTGTCCACACTGGCACTTCTGTTGGTGAAACTTATGCCACACAGGAAGGTGGTTTTTTCACACCCCCGAGCAACATAAGTTACACCAACAAAAGTGCTAGTGTAGACATAGCCAAAGTCAACATGTGAAAAGCCATCGTTTCAGATCTATGGGAAGAATGGATAAGGGGGAACAAAAAAAGAGGTGAAGCCAAACAATTTTAAAGTTGTATTTCAGATGGTTTATTGAATTTTAAAGAATTTGCCAACTCTACAAGTAAATATTTACAAGTGTTCTCAACAGGATCACACAACAGACCACATATTCCAAACACATAAGCAAACCAACCATGCCTATGTCGTCAGCTGTGGAAATGCTGTATTATTTCCAGAGCTCTGAAGCTCGATCAAGGGAAAATGCATCTTCTAATCATGGATTGGGACGGGCCACTAGGCTGCTTCTCATCCATCCCTTTGCTGTAAGATAACAGAGCCTGTAGATCAGGCCCCCTTTCCCATGAATGCTGGCTTCTGTCCTCAAGTATGCACCCCCCACCCCCCATTGTGCGTCAATGATATAGTTACAAAGGATGCCAAGAGACCAGTGCTGGTAAGTGCTCAGAAACGCCTGGCTTGCGCCTCCAATTCTTCCCCCTATTGAGGGGCATTTTATATGCCCCAGGAGAAGATCAAGGTCTCGGTCTGTTGCTCCCTGCGCTGGCAATGCTGAAGAGCATGGGTACTGAACCTTGGCGAGCTGCTTTGTCATCAAATGGAGTCTCAGCCCAAACAACTGCAGTCCAACTTCCTGCTGCACTACACCACTGCCTTTTGAGTTAAGAGCATTGCAAAAAAAAAAAAAAACAAAAAAAACAAAAACCAGTTCCATTTGAAACCATTTTTGATTTGCCCCGCTTGGCTGGCTGCTGAACCTAAGGCTTCTGAACATTTACTCAGCACTTTCCCTCCAACCCTTCTATTTAAAGGTCAGGTGTTCCTAAGATCAGTCCTCCTTTCCCTTCTGCGGGAGAGCATGAGACACTGATATCTAGACCTGCCCTTGTGTTATGTGAAACACCCGCGCAGTCTGGCTTATTTATCAGCATTCTGAGCATTACACTGTAGCTGCAGCATCTCCAGTTCTCAAAAATTCCTATGTTGCACTGCTTTGGCATTGCAGTATGGTAAACAGCCAAGAGCCATGCTCTGGCCTCAGCTCCATGTCCATGAATCCCAGGGTCGTCAATGGGAGTTCTGTGTATATAGCGGAGGGCAGCATGCTGGTAGAGTCTTGGTTGCAAAACTATACTAATTATTCTCTACTCATATTTCTTTTCACTCCCCCACACCATGTTCAGACCCCTAAGTACATCTCAAAGCACATGGATGAGGGACTCCACTCCTGCTGAAGTCAGTGGTAGTGCTGCTTCATGAATGTCTTGACCAGCGCTAGTGTCAGGTGTCACACCAAAGAGAAAGCCCTGTTAGTGACGGGGCTCTTCAGTAAGGCTCTGGAAAGTGAACATTCACTGATCGGCAGCCAACGTCCTGATGCTACTGCGGAGGAGGAGATCATTTATGACTCAAACACCATATACAGATGGATAATATATACAAAAAAACGATACATCAGGCTGTAGGTTGCTTATCAATGTCACAAGACTAGGGGATTGCATAGAGGTTCTCGTCTAGTGCACAATACATGTGAGGATTATTGTAAACTGTGACTTCATATTTTAGAAAGAGAAACGATCTTAAAAACAGAAGAGACTGCAACCAGCCACCTTTTGCAAGTGTAATAGAAACAAACAAAAAAACCTAGGCGTCCAAATGCCATTCATGTAAAGGAAAGATACCGAGCAATATGGTCTGTTACAATCAGCATGCTTTAGTGACACAAACTACTCTTATGCTCTGAAAGTCAGAGTGCTAAAGAAGTGCAAGGCTGCTCGATTCGCCAGGAGGCAGTCATTTTCTTGAACCTATAAAAATCCAATTAAAACAAGCCACTCACTTCAAACAGCTCCATGTGAGATTTTTACAGGCATTGCACTCAGGGAATTCACAGTTGTTCCCTCAGCAGTCATAGCTTGGCTGCACTGAAAAACGAAGGGCAAAATTCTGCCTTCAAATAGGCACATGCAATTTCCAATGAAGTCAGTGGGGGCTATGTGCAACAGAGGGCGGAATTTGGACCACTGAAAGAGTTCAGTTACTGGGACGGATTCAGATTTAAGCTACGACGGTTTTACATCAGCACAAGAGAAACTAGAGTAAGGCTCATAACATGGAATTTCCTGACAAGAGTGCCTGTAAAAAAAACTCCAAGCACAAAGTTGGGGTTTTTTGGTTTTTAAAAAGGAAATTAAGACACCACACGCTGCAGTAGGTAATAGTGATAAGAGGTTCACCGGAATGAACTGGGAAGTAAATTTTAATGTTCTCTACTGTTTACAGGATCACACAACGAAACAGCTGTATTTATTTCCTGGAGTAGCACTGCACATACACGCACTTCTCACCATTACAATCTCTTCAGTATTGGCTCCTGCAAGGAGTTAATTTTGGTAACCCCGTGATAATCTCACTTGCAAAAATGTTTGTAAACAGTTCAGTGGAGACCACTCTCTAGCCCTTATCTGGAGTGCCACAGTGTGGTGGAAGTGGGGAATTTCAAAGGTTTGGATCAGGCCCTGTTCAAGTCAAGTCAGTGTTATCAGTGACTAATGGGAGTTGGATCAAGTCTGTAGATGCTGTTAAGTGCTTGAAACCTATCCGGGTTACTCGTTCTAATTAAGGGCTAAGTCCATGACAAGTCTGAAGTCCTGTTCATGCACTAACCTCTTTGTGCTCCCTGTTTTGAGGGCTAAAGTCTGCTGCGTTACATCAGTGAAATCCCACTAGGTTTACATGGGTGTTCATGCATGTGTACATATCCCATGAACAACCTGGTTGCAGGAGTGTCATTTCAATGGGTGGTTTTATCACAGGGGTGCCCGTCTCCCCTCTGGGAGCCCCATTTCACAGATGGGAACTGAGGCACTAAGGGTACGTTTACACAAAGCTTCCCAGCCTGGGCTGACAGGCTCAATCTAGGGGGGCTCACACTAGCACGCTAACCCTTCTCCCAAGTCTTCAGAGCCCAAGCCACCCCTTCCAAGGGCTGTCTACAGAGCTATTTTTAGAGCACTAGCATGAGCCCTTGTCTGGGGACCCAGAAGGCTCGCTGCTGTGGGCTGTGTCAACATACCCAGAGAGGCTAAGTGACTTGTCCAAGGTCACACAAAGTCTGTGACAGAGTAGGGAGTTGAACCTGGTTTCCCTCATCCCGGGCCAGTGCCCCAACCACTGGGCCATCCTTCACCTATCACTGGTGCAACCTAGCAGAATTTAGCCCTAAAAACTGGTTTTGAAAGCAAGGTGAAGGGGGAACGGTAGGGAGACTACTTCTTCCAAGCACACCCCACTCCCTTGTGTGATTAGTAGGATTGCGCTTCTTCGGGAACAAGAACTAGCCTTGGAAGAGTCAAGCCACAAGATACTTTTTTGTACTTCAAAAATGAGCTGCTAGCAAAAGTGCACTCTCAACCACAGCAGCGTCACTGCAATAAGACGAACAGAGAACTGCCTGTAATGTATACACTAGTGCCACAGGCAGGCTTCTTAACAGGTCTCCCAGTAAAGAACAATCTAACTGGCACTTTACTACCTAATGCTCCCAGTTTGCAAAAAGTATTTAGTGCTTGTGAAAGTGAGCAACTTCAAATGTTACTGGGAGCCAGGTGTTCTGCAGTGCAAGCTTTCCCCACAGAGCTCTGCCAATACTTCTTAATCCTGACCTGTAATATACCCTACCATATTGCTGGCTCGGGCCTTTCTTGAGCAAAGATTTGTGGCAGACTCTGTTGCAATTTTATGGTGCCCTTACTACTGCTTAGGATGAAATCAGCCACCTCCTCTTCACCTGTAACCCACACTGGGATTTGAATTCTAGTCACCAAAGGTGAAAGGCTGCTCTACTAACTGAACGCATAACTAGCGCTCCTAATTAATACTTAAAATTAACAAGCTCACGAAGTGCAATTTAACACTCACAAAGCACTACTTATTACCACACACATACAAACACACACAGGAGTGGGGGCAGCATCTGGAAGCGTTATTTCTTCTCAACAGGTTGGACTTTCCCTTGATCTTCCACTTTTCTGATGGCAGCTTGGATAGCCTCTTGATCACCTAGAAACTGGTGACGGCCAAGAGGGCGCAGATTCTCATCGAGTTCAAGGAGCACAGGTATGCCAGTGGGGAGGGTAACATTAACTATATCCTCATCGGAGATGCCTGCAAAAAGAGAGAACAAAAAATGCCACACAGTTAAACCCAGCACAAGGCAACCTCCTGCCTTGAGATTGCCCCCAAGTATCTCCAAAGACGTTGGTCCACATTCTCTGCTGCGGCAGCGATCTGTTCAGCTAAGCAAGGAGTTGAGGCACAGGGTCCATTATGGCTTCTTGATTATCTGCCTGGCTCAACCCTAGCCCCAGTGCAGGTCAGCGCTAACCTATGACAGTTGGCAACAGTTCCTAGGAGACTCTCAGCCAGCTGGAGCAGGATATGGAGGGGTGGCATGGGAGCCAGCTAAACACACACTGGGGGACTTCCCTTCTGTGACCCAGAGAGCCCCTCAGTGCCAACTGGCAAAGTGCACACCATACCATAACTCACATCAGGCTGGACGCACTGTGTAGGATGTTATATGCAAACTGCTAAAAAGCTGGGCATTAATATTATTGCGTGATTTATGTGCAGGCGGTGTATAAGGAATTACAGAGGTGTACTGGAACCATGTTCCTAAAGTGTGTTCAGCAAACAGTGCAAAAGTCTGCCCTAGACAAAGAAATGGTGTTTTGCCTGCATCCCCAGTGGAAACTGAGCAAGGTGAGGCCAGAAACAATGGAAGTACACTTACATAGAAGGTAAGCAAAGCTATCAAAACTAGCAAGTATAGGAGAGATTTCCCAATGAACGATCACAACAGGGGATGCGGTCTCTCCAGGAAGCCTGCCTGCCTCTGGAAACAGAGACAATGGCCGTTGGGAAACGGAAGGAGGAACAGAAAAGCCATTTTGGCATCTGTCACCTAAGAGACGCAAGGAGCCAGAGCCCTTGAAATGTGAGAAAGGTGGAACCTTCACCCAAAGGGACTGAAGTCTCTGGGAGCTGACTATAGGTGAGAAACCTACTTAGACAAAGACTGTAACTTGCTGAAGTAAACTTTAAGTCACTAGAAATCATGTTTTGTTGTTTGTAACCTTTCCTCTCTTTCAGTCTTACTTGAAATCACGGAAACCTATGTTCTTTGTTTATTAACTTATTCTTGTTTTCTTACAAAGCCCTCTCACCGTGCTGTTACACTGAAGTGAAGTACGTGTCTCCAGCTCACCTGACAGGCTGATGGGCCCTCTTTTGAGGCAGCAAACACAATACCTTTTTGTGAGTGTCCAGGAAGAGGGACTGGACACTGCAGAGAGACGTCTTTGGGGAACTTGGGAGCTAGGCAGGGTGGATAAAAAAAAAAAAAAAAACCAACCTGGATAAAATGCTTTGAGGAAAAAAAAAAAAAAAAACTATCTAAAGATAGTTTTAATTAAGATACATTATAGCTCAAAGACATCTCATTGTGTAATAGGGATTATCAATTCTAATTCTATAGTATGAGACAATATATTCATATAATGTTTAAGAAAAGTTTGTAAATGAGTTTCAATAGTTCACGGATTAGGGACCTAATCTTATGGGGTTCCAGGGACTTCTGTATAGATTATTTAGGTTAATCTTTCCATCAGCCCAATGGGACTCAGTGCTCAGTCTCAAAGATACTAGAGATGCTTAGTTTTACAATTCTCAAAACTGTGGATCTGTATCTCCAGATATAACATGCTTGTTAACAGCAAAAATGTTTTTAAATAAAAATAAATAAATAGAGAGGTGAGAAACAACAGACCTCAGCCCTATTGTCCCTCTGAAAATTTGTGTACACAGAGTCAATCCCTTACCTCTCTCTAAAAGTGCAAAGTTTCAAAAAGTTCAGTGACTATAAGATGGTTGGGGGCGGAATAGATCTGGACAAGGAGAAAAAGTCTGGAGATAAAATGTGAGAAGGGAGGAACAGGCAGCAGAAACCAAAGTGAAACTGTTTGAGCAGCATATTCCAAAAGTCTTGAGGTCTTTCTGAGTGTAGCCTTCATTGATTTGAGATCTACCATAACATTCTTTCACTAGAAGGGAAAAACCTATAATGACAGCAGGTCATAAGAGACACCAATTTTGGGAATATTTTAATGAAGTTCCTCTACCTGTGGGTAAGACAGGCATGCGTACAAAATGCAAACAGTGCAACAAAAAAATGCAAGGCCTGGTTGCCCAAATGAAACATCATGTGAAGTGTTCCTTCTCAGGAGGAAGCTGCCTTGAAGATGAAGAAAGGAACATGTCTGAACATGCAGGATCTTCAGGTTGGTAAACTTTTTTATTTCAGACTTCTTTCTTAAGGACTGCCTGTCGTCCCTCCGGACTACTCTTGAATTCTCATGTTTGAGCAAAAAAATATAGTTTTTACTCTACGGTACTGTCATTTTAGATGCAGTTGTGATAAAAAATAAATAACTGAAATAGGCAGATCCTCCTTTTACAATTTCACCTTTAAAGTAGTACTGTCAGTGAATGCAATGAGTAATACTAAATGAGCAGTATGGTAATAATAATTAAACAACCGCATTGACTTATTTTGTTTAGGAGAATCCATCCTCAACATACAGGATTCTGAAGACTCTCCACCTTCAAGATCACCATCATTTTCTATAGTTTCAGAGTTATCTACCAATGATAGTGTTTCAGTCACATCATATGTCACACATAGCCACAGTATATCACCTGTAGCAAAAAAGAAAAAAAAACCTCCATCATCCAGAAACAACCATAAATAAATTTGTGATGAGAGCCAGCAGATTACACAAAGAGGTAATTGATGAAAAAATTGCCCTGTTTGTTTATGCAACAAACTCTCCTTTCCATATGATTGAGAACCCACACTTCATTAACATGGTTCAGTCATTAAGACAGGATGCAGTCCACCCAGAGCAGATGTCGCAGGCAAATTGCTGGATAAAGTGTATGAAAGAGAAATTGAGCAGTGTGCAAAAAGGTCTAGAGTGTGAAATTGTTAACCTGAGTCTTGATGGGTGGAGCAATGTCCACAATGTCCATCCTGTTATATGTGCTTGTGTGACAACAGAAGAAGGGAATGTCTTCCCTACAGAAACAATTGATACATCAGGAAATGTACACACAGCAGAATACTTACAAGAAGTACCAGTAAAAACTATAACAAACTGTGAAAAAAAATTCAAATGTCTAGCACGCAGCTTGGTCACAGACAATGCTGCAAATGTATCCAACATGAGAAGAAATTATTTAGGAGAGAGTGAAGAGTGTCCCAAGCTAACAACATACAGTTGCAGTGCTCATTTGATGCACCTCCTAGCCAAAGACTTCAGTGTTCCGGAAATAACAGCTAATGTTGCTGAAATTGCAAAATACTTCCCTAACACCCACTTTGCAGCAGCTGCTCTGAAAAAAGTGGGAGGAACCAAACTAACTCTCCCACAAGACGTGCAATGGAACTCAGTAGTGGACTGTTTTGAGCACTATATCAAGAACTGGCCTAATCTGACGACAGTTTGTGAACAAAATCATGAAAAAATAGATGGCACTGTCACAGCCAAAGTTCTCAACATTGGGCGTAAGAGAAATGTTGAACACATGCTGAGTACCCTGAAGCATTGAACAAAACGCAGGGAAACAGCTGTTTTATTGTTGACGCTGGTGAAATTTGGAAGGAACTGAGTGAGATCTTAAAAAGAGAAATCGGCAATGAGAGTTAAATTACAAGCATTAAAAAGATGAATGGGACAAGCACTATCTCCAGCTTGTTTTCTTGAAAATATTCTCAATACTCGGTTCCAGGGTCAAACCTTAACTGCTGAAGAAGAGGAGCTGGCTAGGACATGGACATCCAGCAATCATCCCTCCATAATGCCAACTATAATAAACTTCAGAGCTAAGGGTGAACCATTCAAGAAACAGATGTTTGCTGATGTTTTAAAGAAAGTCACACCAGTGAACTGGTGGAAGTCACTTAAGCACTTGGATTCCGAGACTGTTGAAGTGATCATCTCACTTTTAAGAGCAGTAGCTTCTTTTGCCAGTGTAGAAAGAATATTTTCTTCCTTTGGACTAATTCATTCCAAACTGAGAAATCTTTTGGGACCTGAAAAAGCAGGAAAGCTTGTTTTTCTTTTCTAGATTATGAACAAACAGGAAAATGAAGATGAAGACGACGGAGTTAGCTGCAGAAGCCAATATTTTAAGTTTCTCATGTTGACCTGGCTGACATAGGCAATTTAATTTTTGTTTTTTTAAAAAAAAAATTGATTTAACTATTTTAGTTAAACAAACCTGATTTTAAAAAACTTGAATGTTTAATTTCAAAAATTCATATGCTTGTTTTGTTAAAATATTATGTTTGCTGTTGAATACATAATGTTGTTGTTTTAGTTAAACTAAAACAATTTAAATGTCTGTCTGGTGATGTTCTCCTCCTAATACAGCATGGCAAGAAAATCCTCCAAATATTACGGATAGCTCAGTGGTTCGAGCATTGGCCTGCTAAACCCAGGGTTGTGAGTTCAAACCTTGAGGGGGCCATTTAGGGATCTGGGGCAAAAATTGGGGATTGGTCCTGCTTTGAGCAGGGAGGTTGAACTAGATGACCTCCTGAGGTCCCTTTCAACCCTGATATTCTATGATTTGCCTGTTGAATTTGAGAGATTTATGAAGTCACTGGGAGGTGAACGATTTGCTTCAATTACCATTGGTAAATGAAATAACCAAACAATCATTCCTTTTCTGATATAGCTGTAAAACTAATCTGAAAAGTTTTCAAAAATCCATTACTTTAAAAATGTATAGTGTGTACCTTCTAAAAATGAAACCTACATCCATCTGAGTTGTGAAGAATGTGTACAGTATTAAGGTTATAACAACCAACAAGAATGCACTTTTATGTAGAAATCCACGATTAAATAGAGTCCTCCTGAGTAGTGATTTAAATCATGATTTAAATCAAATCCACCCTGAAGCTGGGGTTCACTGATTGTTACCTGCAAGGCAAAGTTTGAACTGGCAGCGTCCTGAAGCTGACACACAACTTAGCAGCAGCAAAGTTCACTCAAACTTGGGCAGAGCAGTAACACAGTGGCTTGCAGTTTTGGCTGACCTGA